GTATCATATGTGATTGTTAATTTTTATGTGTGTTGAAATTCAATGCCTGAGCTGTAGTAACACTTGTATCATTGTTAACCCTTTACTATAAATCTTAGGATCATCTGTAAATTTGATGATGTATTTTGTAATAGTCTCATCCATGTCATTGATGTACATGACAAAAAGGGTCGGCCCCAAAATGAAACCTTGCAGTATCCCCCCTCACCACATTTCTCCAATCTTGTTTTCTTGAGGTTATCTTGAGATGATTTCGGGGCTTTTTAGTGTCCCCGCGGCCCGGTCCTTGACCAGGCCTCCACCCCCAGGAAGCAGCCCGTGACAGCTGACTAACACCCAGGTACCTATTTTACTGCTAGATAATAGGGGCATAGGGTGAAAGAAACTCTGCCCATTGTTTCTCGCCGGCACCCGGGATCGAACCTGGGACCACAGGATCACAAGTCCAGCGTGCTGTCCGCTCGGCCGACCGGCTCCCTAGATTCATTTCAGTCAGATTCATTTCCATCTTAGACGACTCTTTGTTTTATTTGTTTTAACCATTGTTATACAGTATCCATTCTAGTATTCTACCATTTATTCAGTGTTTATTCCATGTTAAGCATGAGCAGTGAGGCAGGAAAAGTTAATGGTATTATTCCTGAACAGTCAAACAGGGAAACCTAATGGTGTTGTGCATGAACAGTGAGGCAGGGAGACCCAATGGTGTTGTGCATGAACAGTGAGGCAGGGAGACCCAATGGTGTTGTGCATGAACAGTGAGGCAGGGAGACCCAATGGTGTTGTGCATGAACAGTGAGGCAGGGAGACCCAATGATGTGGTGCATGAATATTGAGGCAGGGAAACATAATGGTGTTGAGGCACCAGTCCTTAACTGTACACCTCTGTTCACCCAACAGTGATTAGGTAATTGGGTACCTGGGTACCTGGTGGTTAAAAGATTGGCCGGTCTTCTTCCAGGGCAAGCTAGTGGGTAAGTCTTTCCATGAGCTATGGGAAAGGAAAGCTATCGGCCTGTTTACAGGAGTCGGCAGTCATCTGTTTCTCTACCCACTTGTGTAATGAAAAAAAAATATGTATATATTCTGTACTGTATATACATATAGTCTTCACTGTTAGTGTACAATGTATGTCTAAGTTGCATGTACTGTATTTCCAAATACTATACATGCAAAGCTAAAATCAGTGCACTGATGGGTGTGAACATGAAGATGAATGTGAAGTTATAAGAGTTTTCAGAGATGCTATTAGCCAGAGCCATATTTCTAAAATTGTGTGGTATAAAGCCTGAAAATGTGTGGAGTGAACGTATAAATGAAAGGAGAGTGGTGTTGGTAAATAAGAGTAGGGGTACTGCTTGTATAAGGACATGTCTGAGAAACCTTGTGAGCCAAGCTGAGTGTACCCACTGCCAAGCTTTTCCCTCGTGTGTCTGCCTTGATCTGACTCTTGGTGACACTTGATTTATTCTCTCCTTGTGAGCATCTCGACCAGGGAGGCCTGGTCGAGGACCAGGCTGCGGGGAAGCTAAGCCCCGAAACCATCTCAAGGTAACCGTCTCTGGATATAATTTGGGTAATGCTAAATTTGTATACAGTAGATTAGTTTTAGAGTTATTAATATATATGGCATGGACAGCATGGGACAATCTCTTTCCTGTTTGTTTTGGCAGATTGAATGTGAGACTATTTTTAATGTTTTAGCTACACAAGTAAGAGTACATTTGGTGTTGCATTGATTTATTTACACAGTATGGTATTGTGCAATGTCAGTTCATCATTTAGGTTAACTCTGGTACAATACTATACCATACTACCATGTACAGTACAGCATAAATTTAAGTAGTATTTTAAATGCATTTCTATAACAAAATATGTATGATAGCATTCACACACTAGCAGAACTTTCAGTGAGTACTGGTACAGTATATAGATCTAACTAATTTTATATCTTTGGTTTTAAGCAGTATTAAATATTACCCAAACAACCTCGAGGCTAAAATGGATGCGTTTTTATTTGTTTACACATTTCTTGCCATTAAAAAAAAAAAAAAATCTTGGCATTACTTGTATGTTAGGTAGCTATAAAAAGCAGCTTTTCATAGCTCCCACAGGCAAGAACATCACCCTAAAATAGCTTGAAGTAGGCGTACATCCTCCCTCACTTGTTTAATGCCTTAGGTTTCTTATATTTGGTTGAAGATGCAGGCGTATTACACTTTCTGGAATATGATGGCCTTGGTGTTTGATAAGAGGATTTGATGAGTGAGCAATAAAGTTAATACTAAGAGTGTGAGAAATGATTGAGGTGGTAACTCATGAGTGTGTGCCAGTGAAAGGTGCTGCTTCATGATATTGCACGTTAATTATATTCATGGATTTTCACATTTAAACAAATATTTTTTTCAATCTAATGATTTGTTTTCATTAGATAGAAGTCTAGTATAAATTTGATGATGCCTTCAGCAATAGAAGATTAGATAATTAAAAATATATAGTTGGCAAGCAGTATGTATGCAGGTGGAGGATGAGGCACTGGCAAGGCTGCACTACAGGCAGTGCCATTTGTGGTGGTGTGAGTGGAGCATATGTTACTGGGCAAGGTTGTGTGTGTGTGTGTGTGTGTGTGTGCAACATCCATTTCTTCACCTGCCCTACGCTCTTCAGTGTCAAGTTATGATGTGTGTTGTGGTTAGTCATATGACACTGTTTTGAGAGGTTGTAACTGTTCTGTGGCACCAACCTTGTCAATGAACCTTTATAAAATTTATTTAAAGATTTTTTTGGTATGAAGTTTCATTATTCAAGATTATTTGATATACAGGTTTACTAATGCGATCTTTAACATTGGAAGACCTTTAACCTAAGGTGTCCTAAATGACACAGACATTTTGAGACAGGTTTTACTCACCTCTTCTGTTAATCTTAGCTGCCTTAAATATATTGTGTTGAATCATTTGCTTTAATCACTCTGGCTTCACCATTAACATTGATCTTGAGACGTGAATATATTTACAGTATTACATCGATGAGACTATGTAACGTATAGAATAATGGCTATTATTTCTTTCTAGCTTTGCTTTGACTTTTTCCTCAGACAGCTTAAGAGAAGATGTCTTGGAGGTACTTAAAGACATCTGACTCCTAATCTAGAGCTGTGATAATTTGTCACAGCTCTAGATAAGGAGTTGGCAGTCTTCAAGTACCTTCATGTCATCTTCCCTTAAGTTGTTTGAGGCGAAGGTCAAAACAAAATTGCCAAAGTTTGAGGTGAATAATACAAAAAATGGAAGGAAAGTTATCATTGTCAGTTGACTCAATATTACACTTGGTTTTATGATTGGCAAAATTCTTGTTAAAGTTAATACTGTATTATCATAAACTTAAAAAGGTTATCTTAGTTGCTTAAGCCCTTGCATACTTAAGATTGCATGTTTATCCTGGTGGTGCATGCCGGGTATTTTTGAAATGGTGACGTAAATTATTTGTTGTTACAGAATTGTAAAATATAAAAATCTGATCTGGGGGAATATTATTTAAGTCATTGGAATTTTAAGATACAGGTAAATGAAAATTATTTACAATTTCTGCAAAGTACAGAATATATTGTGCATGTTTACAGGCTCTTGTTAGTACACATCTCAGTGTCACATTTAAACATGGGGCCGTAGTTCTTAATTAACAATATGTTTAAATCCATTTAGTATAGTTATTTAAGAAAGTGAAAATATCATTTCCAATGCCATAGAGTGTATGAATTTTCTCACTGTTTGCTAATACACTATCTCCTGGGGAACAGTTTTTGGCTGGCATGTTCTTCCTCGTTGGTTACAAAGCATACATGGTTGGTAAAATTCGCACAGATGCTGACAGATGTAAGATGAGTATTCTGACAGGAAATTAACCCTAAGGGTGTAAAACACAGTCAAACTAAAAGTTATAATGGCTAATGCAGTTTATAGCGGATTGGAACCACATTTTTTGGGGGGCAGCTAAAACTACTCAAGGCATGCAGGAAATTATGGCATGCTAGTGCCATATTCTGTATAGGGATTTAATACTAGTGCATTTTTATTTTTTAACAAGGCCCCAGTGGCAGCTTCCCTGTGCCTTGTGCTGTTGACCGTTGCAAGACACAGACCTGGTGTCCTTTGCAGGACTCTTAAGTGACCTTACACCCTAGAAGGACAAGTACCATTTCAAGAACTCTTGTTCTTCATCTGAATTGGTGTAGGGTTAATGAGAGCCTAACTCGATCTACCCAGCAGTAACCTCTTGCTAAAAACTTCCAGATCACTCAAAATTCCCTTCAAACTATTCTTGGCCATTAAAAAGGTCCACGATCATTTTGAAACATCCAAAGGCCCAACACTCGTCTTCACTGAGTGCCACTAAAGGGCAGCACTACTGTCAGGTGAGGTGGCAAGTCCTCATTTTACTGCCAGTTACTTTCAACATCAGTTAACTAGGTTCTCCAATAGCCAATATTACTCATTTAAATTGGTGTTCCTTGAGATTTGCTTCATGTGTGGTTCCAAGTCTTCTTGTATGTCTACATTATAATCCACTTTAACTTTGATTCAGGGCTCGAATCATTGGCACTAATTGTGAAGGCTAACAACTACCGATGGTGCTCTATCCTGAGGCTGTCAGGGCTCCTGAACTGGTTCAAATCCTCATGTGTTGTGCCAGGCCATTGGCTAGACTTTTGGTGCTTCCTCGCTTGCCTAAGCCTCTTCACTGAGTTGATCTAATTAATGTATCTTGTTATGTTATACTGAACATTGATTACACTTAATTAGTGTAATCTTGTGTTGGCTGTTTTTGTAAAACTTAAAATTATGTTCATATTTCATACCACATTTAAATTCTTTAAAGTTTTATCTTTTGTTTGCATATTAATTTCACGTTCATTATTGTCTTTGCTCATTATTATAATCGTATCTTTGTAAGTAATAACCTGCTGACGTTTTTTAGAAGGTCACCAGGTTAATTACTTACATTTGTCTTATTTTTGTCTTATTGTTTTCTGTGCGATAACTTGAGAAAGTGGGCTGTGCTCAAAATATAATTTCCTAGTGATGTTTGGAAGTGTCAAACTAAGAGTAACTGCAGAATGGATCATGTAACAATGTAATACAGTAATTAGAGTAGCAAAAGTACGAATGGTAAGTACAAATGTTTATTTTGGTTGCTTAAATTTGGAAAAATCTCTGAGTTGCGGACATATAGTTCTAAAAATAACTGCAGTCAGGCTGGTTTTGTTATCATTTGGATAAGGACCAAAGTCATCTTATTCTTATCTAAGTGTCAGATGTGTCACGTGTCAGTCTATACTCGTCTCCCTTCTAAAGTGTAGCATTTCTTATAGAACTTATCGTTACTGCATCTTATACTGTAATAAGTTCTCTGAGTTGTTCTGTGAGTGCTCTTTATAGCAGACAATTACTCTACATGCTGACTAGATATGTATGCAAATAATTTGCTTATCATAGAGAACTTCGCAGGAATTGGATACATTGCTCAGGGGAAGCTGCATGACAGTTGTGAGTAACTACAGTACTGGTACTTGGTCTCTGTGAGTAGCTACAGTACTATAGGAAAGAGCTGGTATGGTTTTGCCACCAGTACAGATTTGTCTTTCTTGGTAGTCACAGTTTTGGACAAATCAGGTTGGTTGTTTCATCCGATTTTTACCCCTTGATCTAGATTGATCCATATATGCTGTATGTCATAGATTTGAAGCAACAAGCACAAATAAGTTTGCTTTGGAGTGTGCTTTGGTTCACAAACCCCTGTACTCGCCTAATTGTGCTTGCGGGGGTTGAGCTCTGGCTCTTTGGTCAATTCTCTCTCTCTCCTGTAGAGTGTACTGTATATTGTTTGCCACTTTTTAACAATGTCAGTAAAGACATTATGAATAAAAGATAGATGGTAATTACAGAGAAAACAAAAATGTATTCAGTATAACAAATATATACTGTACATTGAATTTGTGGGGAAAAAACTTCAAAGGAGATCTTCAAAATATGCTTTGAACAGAAATAAATCCAATTCTTTAACCCATAAATGGTTCAGCTACTTAAGTCCCACATCATGGTGCATGTGTCAATAGTTTGTAAAAGTAATGTAAAAAAATTGCATTTGGTGATTGGACCACAGGAGATAATCACAGATACTGTAATGATTGAAGCTATTTAGGGGTTAAGCAGAAAACCTTACATGTATTTAGAAGACAGACTTAAAATAATTTTTAAATCATTTCAAACTAAGTAGATTTTTACTTGGAATCGTCCTGTTTGAAAACCATACTGTCCATCTTTTATTATGTCATTATTCCCCAGGTATATTTCTATGCATTTGGTTCTAACTATTTTGTCTGGTGTTTTGACTACCAGACTATTATTTACTAATTTAGAGGGTCTTCTTGGCAACTATTTTTGTAGATTGGAACTGTTTACCTTTTTCAAAATATTTGCTAAGATTTCTGTGGAAAAAGATATCTGGAATATCAGTTAGAGAGGAATGCTCAGCTCGGTTGCACATTCTCAAAGCACCCAAGGTGAAACTCCATCTGGTCCAACTGCTTTATTTCTTTCTAGCCCCTTGAATAAAATTTCCACTTCATCTTGAGATACCTCTATGTACTCTATGGCATTTTCTGGAATTGGCTTTGGCACCGACTCTGAAATTCTCATTTTGCACAAACACACTTTGGAATTGTTCATTTAGTATTTCACACATTTCTTTTTCATTCTCAGTGAACCTGTTCCCCATTCTCAATCTCTGGATTTTATCCTTTACATGCTGCTTGCTATTAATGTAAAAAGGCAAATAATGTTCATGTCAAACATAATTGGTAGACAAGGAAAATAAAATAATGAATATGATGTAGTAGTGTAAGACGTTTGTTGTTTCTGAAGTACTGTACAGTAACACTTGAGTGCTGTGTGATGCTGGCCCTCGTACAGTATTGCCTTGGGCAAGGGATGTTGTGCTTCTTGACTGCCTTCGGCACAAAATTGTTTTACAGCATTTCTCACTTATTAATTTGTGGGTGTCGATTTTAATACCCTTCAAGAACATTATCCTATATTCTTGTATATATATCTAACCTACACTTGAAACACTCCAATGATCCCGCGTCCTTTGCAAACATGGTAATTTGCGCCTTAATTCAACAACGCTGTTTCCAAACAAATTAGACTAACCCAGGTCTATCTTGAATCTAAAACATATCCAGTTTATATCTGTATATTCAGATGTCTGGTAGGAAGTGTAGTTTGGATAAATCAGGCAGAGGGAAGAAGTGATATCTTCAAATGGATACAAATTATAAATTGATGGAGAAAAGTGATTAAGGTTAGGGAATGAGTAGGTTAGCAGAGGAGTTCGGCTTCTGAACGATAAATAGCAGAAAGTTAAGATTTTAGAGATCCTTGTTGAGAGAGGGAATTTTTTATGTCAGTTTGCAAGGATAAAGCTGATACTGAAAGGTAAGTGCAAATTGTATTACAGTATTATATTATTTACATTTTATATTACAGTACAGTATAAGAATATTTTTATCACAGTATATAAGGTATTATTTATTCTTATATAGTATTCTGTAATTTTCTATAAAAAGAATAAAGTTGTCATGAAACAGTAATATTGTAAAGTACTGTATTTGAAAATGAAGAATGGATTTGGGACCTATTAGTCCAGGTTTATGAACCTGCACCAAATTCTATTTTGGATTTGTTTATTCACAACTTGTATTAAAAATTTTTACTTAAAGGTTTATTATTAGAAATAATATATATATATATATTCAGTATGTATATATAATTTATTATACTCGTACATATATTCATACTAATAATCTAATCCACACGTGTGAAAATAAATGAGTGATATATTTAATCCGTTCTGGACCCTTGTCGAGTCGCAACACAGCAGAGTGGGAGAGGGACTTTAAAGGTCCAGGACGAACTGAAATGTCGTCACTTTCACTTCTTTTTATAAGTGTGAGTTGGGTTATTTTATTTCAGCCACATATTCTCTGCATGCTTGCATGCATACATACTGTACACACATGCATACATACATACATACATACCATTTGTATATACTGTATATACAGAACTGAAAATTCATTTAATTATAATGATGGATATTGCCAAGGTCAATATCTCATCTCAAGATAACCTCAAGAAGGTCTTCTCCTTCCATAAGGTGGCATTTACATAGTCCTAGTGCTATTTTATTAATTAATGTACAGTACTAGCCATCTTTGGAATACAGCTTTACATGCGCTTTAAGAGAAATGCATTGCATTTGGCTGTGAAGACAGAGTGTAATACCTAAATTTTTGTTTAATTCTGCCAATAGAGAAGAAGTTGGTAGTCTTCATATAGCATCCTGTGAGCTCAGTCTACACCATGCAGGTTGAGGATATGTGAGTCAGCTTCCTACCTCGGGAGTGTTGCTGTGTGCTTTGGGTTTTCTAATGTTTTTAACCTCCAAGTTTACCCTGGGCTTAATACTACAACTCCTGTTTTACTAACACTCATTCATTTTATTCGGCATGGTGATCATCCTATAAAATATTTGTAGATTTGTAGTACGGTATCATTAGACAATTATATAAAGTTCTTGAATTTAATATTTAAAAGGGTTTTGTAGTTCTTTCCGTTATGATTACTATACTCGGATGTTTAAATTAAATACTGTTTGTAATTTTATATTTTTATTCTCGGATAACTGCAAACATAGTAAGACAAAATGTTGTAACACGGGCTTATTTGTGGGAATGGCGTCTTTGAAGTCTTCTGCAGTGTGTGTGTGTGGAGTGAGATGTGAACCTTTTACACTGAAAGATATTTAAAAAAAATTTTTTTAGGTGTGACATTGTAGTAAAACCATCAGGAAAAGAGAGTTATTTACTTAAATGTTTAAATAATTACCCAGTAGATTACTATAACTCAGTTTAGTTTAGTGTTGTGCATGTTATTAATATTGTTATACTGTATTATGAAGTCACAATAAAATATTAAAATTGCCTTACAATTCTGAATACTTACTGTTTACTAATATTTCATCACAGTGTAAGCTTGACATTCTCACCATAAAAGTGGTGTCTGTACATTCACATCATGAGTACAGGGAACCAATAGGAACCACAGAGGCATAGGCCACATCTGTTACTTGCTGGTGAGCCACCAATTTAGCTAATATATTGAAGGAATATTTTTGGATGCAACATGTTTTGGGTGACAAGTTTTAGAGAAATAGGATTTATTTAAAGAAAATGATGAGCTTTGACAAATTTAGCATAATGATCATGCTGAAAAATTCTGAAATGTAACCATGGTAAGTGTTGTATTTTAGCAGGTGTTTCAAGTATTGTAGAGGTTGTCTATTTGTCTGGACCAATGTCTTACTGTTAGTAGATACTAAAGAGAGAATTTGGGAGTGTAGCTCTTTGTAGACTGAGAATGTGGAATGTATAGGATGCCATACTATCGTAGTGTGTTTGAGAAGTTGGTGTCTAGGGAGACGTGTCACAACCTCGGTAAGGAGTTGTGAGATAAGATTGTAATCATTGACATTAACTCATCATATGCTCCAAAACTAATTTGCTAATCTGCTTTGCTTTTTTATAATTGATAACTAAAAAGAGCCTTATCTTGCCATTAAAATGCAGACATTGCTAAATTTTGCTTTAAAATGCAAATTATTCTGTATTTGATTGGATGGACTGACTTTGGTGATTATCCTGGATGCATCAGAGTATTTGTCGATGTTATTATCTGTACTTAATTATCCTGTAGTTCAATTAATGTTTAAATTTTCCCTTTATTTTTGTTTTTTGTATAGATACAGTAACATGAAATTTAGTGTTGTTTTAGTTACTGATGACAATAGTAGCATTATTGATAGTAATGTAGTCTTGATATTTAAATGTTGTCAGTTCTTAATTTGAATTATTTTCATCCACTATTTTGTCTAATTTGTTATAAATTGTAATTTAGTTTTAAGTGTTAAATTTAAATTCATCCTTTTAAATGCTGTATATATATGTTTTGTAAGTTCTTTTTTATGAAAATATATATTGCCACTAAAATCACTGTCATCATAGTTACTAATACAATTCATGTTAATTTGATGATCAAAAAGTGTCATTTGTTAATTTGGTATTAACCCTTACACTTTCCCATTTGCCATATGTGATATTTAACCATTTGTTACCAATTTTTAGTCAAGCTCTGCTCAATATTGACCTTTTAAGTAACTGCACAGTTTAAGAGTATGTTGTGAGCGCATCTTGTCATTCACCAGAGTGATGGACGGCCATCCTGTGCCAGTCCTCATCCAGTGTGAGGACACAGGAAACTTTGAACTGGATGAGGAAGCCTTGGAGATGGTGCTCTTAAATCCCAAGATTGCAGACAAGTATGTGTGTGTCCTGGCCGTGGCTGGTGCCTTTCGCAAGGGCAAGTCTTTTCTCCTCGACTTCCTATTAAGATACATGAGTTCACAGGTTAGTTTACTCCTTTCTTCTTACAGCATCTTGTTAATTGATTTTGATTTAGTTTAGATTCTTTTAATAGTGAATAAATTAAAAAAATCTATTTTTGATCTATTCTTTTTGATCTATTAGTGAAAGTGTATCTTTTGGTTATTCAAATGAATGCATATGGCAAGGGGCGGGACTAACTAGCTGGGCAAGGGGCAGGAGAAGTCGGGCAAGAATTTTAAAACTTAAATCAAATAAAATTAAACAAGAAACATCGGGGGCTCTTTTTGGGACTTGTTAGCTTTTGGAAATACTGTAAACCAAAACGTATCTTGGGTCAGCGTAATTAGTATAGGAAAGCTGCAGTGTTGCAAGACCTTCAGACTGTGGGAGCATTTTGACAATACGTATTGTTATGGTTCAAATAGAGTAGGAGAGTAATAGCTACCTAGAGTAGCAGAGATCCCATCACAATGTTCATACTTTTCATATTACTTGTGTTGTCCTGCCTTGAGTACGCTTCGATTCTCACTTTCCCTTTCAAAGCAGAAGAGAGATCTGATATAGAGGGGACACCAAGAACATATATGGCACACATACATACAGTAAAGGCCTAAGGTATTGGGACAGTCTTAAAGCTCTTAAAAATATACACATAGAAAATACTGGAAGGCCAGATCCCAAATTTGCAGTAAAGTAACAACATACTGGAGCAAACAATATGGAAGGAAATGCAGAATAGAGTTAGTGAAGAGTAGAGGTAGTAAAGGTGCAGTAGAGAATACTGTACGAATGTCAATTACAGTTCAGTACTTTCTTATTGGGGTTGTGGTGATATCCTGTTTATGCAATTGAAATTTTTGCAGTTGCATACATCTTTCATCATGCAAATAAAGATAACTAGGTTCCACATGCTTGTTTTAGCATATTTAATGCTAATTATCCCCTCATAACTCATTATTTTTAGGTCCTGATTTCATTTAAAATCACATTTTTAAACCTTAATACAGGTACTTTATTTGCGTGTTATAAGCGTTTTAATGAGAGATCCTTTTGAAACTGTGGGAAATGATAAGTATGATGTCCATGGTGACTGAGATGCATATTTTCATATTAGAAGATTAGAAATTCATTCCACTGACCTCCCAATATCCATTTTTTTATATGCCTCTCAATAACAAAATGTTCCTGAACATCATTACTGTACTGGATACTCCCACCACTCCCAGTCACAAAGGAACTGTACAAAGTAGAATTGTGCTCTCATTAATGAATTAGAAAAGAGTATGCATACATTTTCATTATTATTATTGCTACAATGTTCTATATTTTCAGCAATCACAAGAGTGGCTTGGTGATGTAGAAGAGCCACTGAAAGGCTTCAAATGGCGGCAAGGATCCAAGAGAGAGACTACGGGTGTTTTGATCTGGAGTGAACCTTTCTTAATTAAAAAACGATCTGGTGAAGAGGTGAGTTCTATCATAAGGTTAGTTAACCCTTAGACAGCAGTTATCGCCAATTGATGATTCACAGTGTTATGCGGTTATCATGTGAAGATTTAAAAAATTATTGTCCAGGTTTTATATGTATGATGCAAATATGGATATAATAGGTCTGTGTGAATGTAAATAAAAACTAGTGATAAAACAATCGGTGAAACATTGGAGAATAAGACAGGGAGTGCCGGCATAGTCAATAGTCAGGCGTTGACAAGTGCCAGACACAACCTTGCAGAGCACCTTCACCCAGTGAAACGATAAAAATTCACTTATTTTCGGGTTTTCCTTATATTATGCATACAAATTAATAATTCTAAAATGAAAAATTATTTGTTGGAATTTTTATATTATTTGTGCATAGGCAGGTATGACCATTTCTCCATAGCTGCTGTCTAAGGGTTAAGAGAGAAGCTTTGGGAACTTTCCCTAGGCACCCAACACTATTACAACTACAGTTCTGTACTGTACTGTCACACTTTGTATGAGCCGGATATATGCTGAGTGATAATCTAATAATTTAACGGTTCATACAGTATATAGGTAGGTAATGGAACTATTCATTCTGACTTCATGTATACAATGTTTGAGGGTTAGATAAGTTTTGGAAAATAAATTTATCTAGCTTAATATTCCCGTAGAGTACCGTAGCTGTAAAATAATGTTAAGTAGTGAAGAAAATGGGACTGCACTGTCTGTTTATGCTGGGACACAGTCTTAGCTTTGTGCCTCTTTCTCTGTACAGAAGAACCCTTGAAAAGGTGTGTCATTTATTCATTTGATTGACTCCCTTACTTGCACAATTGTATATTACAGCAAGTTATTCAATAACCATCTCGGAAATTACATGTACATACTGTATACTCAAAATTATGGATTTTTTGGCATTTAGTACATTTTGTGATTGTCATATTTCGGGCACATTATCTATACTTTATACGCCAGAGAAATATATCTGCAAAAATTGATGGATCTGTGTCTGTTTTAGGTAATTTATCTGATGCATAGTCTATGATGTATGTTAAGTGAATTACTGAACATAATTCACATTGTGCTGAGTTTATCATCTTTTCTTTCAAACTCGTTATGTCTCAATATAGGATAATTTAGATCATGTTCAGTTATAAAACTTTTACATAGTTTATTCTTAATTTATTTTCTTCAACTGAAGCTCTGAATATTGCCTTCCATAGATTGCTGTTATTTTGATGGACACTCAGGGGACCTTTGACATACAGTCCTCCATGAAAGATTCTACCACTGTATTTGCTCTCACAACAATGGTATCTTCAGTGTTAGTGTACAATCTAATGAACAATGTACAAGAGGACGACTTGATGAACCTTCAGCTATTCACATCGTACGGCATGTTGGCACAGGAAGACTGCGACACTTCCCACCCATTCCAGGTGAGAGGCTTTTCTTGGTTACTATATTGCCATAAAGCTGGCCTTAAGACTTTCAGCCCATCCTCTAGAGTTGCCACAACCAATAAAAAATGGTGTACTAAAATGTGTGAACCTAATTGGACTGACCTAACCAACTTGCTCATAGAAAAAGTTGTAGTTTGTGAGCTGCTATGATTTATTGTACATCGTGTTTTGTCGTTTAGAGATTTTGGTGTTAAAATACGATGTATTATTTGAGAGGATAGGTTGTGACGTGACTATAAAGGTGGCCGGCTAATACTACGAAACATACGTAATGAAATCACAAAAGCATGATATATCTGTCAGAAAATATTGAAGTTGAATGATGGGATCGAACTCGCTTTCCTGCAACAAAGGATCATTCAATTTACCATCTTTGGGACTATCAAAATTGGTCAATTGACTATGAATGCAATAAGAGAAAACTGTATAAGTTGCTTCTCTTGACAGGTATGATGGGTATTATTACTAGTGCTTTTGTAATAAACAATTAACAAACACTGCAGGTACATACAATAACAGCTGTCTTTTATAGTCTCTGTAATGTAAACATTGTAGATAAACTAGTATATGAATATTAAACAATAGTGTGTATAACCAATTCAAGATGTGCCAGAAGTATTAGCTAATTTAGAAAATATAATTCTTTAGAAATTTCTGACAACTGTAAAGGAGATTTATGGAATGGCTGATCTCTTGCATTATTTTGAAGGTTGCAGTAAGGCTTTACCTGAATTTACCTGAGTAAATTCAGGTAAAGAATTTATTCAGTCGATGCTGTGCAGTCAAAAAAATCTTCGACTGCGAGGCCCTAACAGTAGATGCCTTTTGATTGGGTGCCTAATTACTGCTAGGTGAACAGAGGCATTAGGTAAGAGGAAACATGCCCAACCATTTCTGTCCTGCCCGGGAATTGAACCTGGGATCCCTGATGCGAGGTGAGAACTAAACCAATTGTACTATTAGACTATGCTGGGTATATGACTTGATGTTACAGATTTACTTGATTTATTTAGGTTTTTGATCTAGGATTATTCTTAACTTGTCTACTGTTATTGTACTTATTGGTGTTTTGTTCTTGTAATCTTAGATTCTTATTTTTTATTTCTCTGCATTTGCATTGATTTATTCCAGTTCATTGATTTAATTCATCAAACAACTTCATCTGCCAAAGTATCATATATGATTAGTTTTTTGTTTACTAGTCATTCATATTCTTTCAGGTCTCTAGATATACAGTGCAGTATACCCTTTCTTAGACTAGAGAAAATAATTGGCTTGTGTGGAAATTCAATGAAAGTGATGATGATTTGGTCTGTCCAAGATTGTTACCAAGTCATGACAAAGAAAAGTGGGAGAGCGTGTTTCTCACTTCTCTTTGTCACGACTTGATATGGATCTGAGACGGGTTGAAACATCATTACTTTCATTCCATATCAGTGTGGGTAAGGTTATTGGTGTGAGCCTTATTATTTTTTGGATGTAGCTTGTGTTGCCAATGCTTTAGATGTGATGACTTGTTTTAAATTTAACTTGAGGTTAATAAAAAAAATCTATATATAATAAACTTGGCAGTGGAATATCTTAGATATTTGTTAGCTTTATTATTTATATATTTGAGTTGGATGTACACTACCATAAACATGTCAGGATTTGACTTGGATCTCGTCCTTCATTTGCAACCTTTATATGGACGTGGATAATGGTAAGTTCAAACTCAAAATTATTAGTACAGTACTGTATTTAGATAGGCTTATAATGAGTATTTAAATGAGCATAAGTATAAATACATTTATGAAAGCAGTGATATTAATTTATTTATTAGACACCCTACCCACATATCTGAAATTAAAAGGAAGTGACATCATTTTGGTGTGTCCTCGAACATTATAAAGCCATGACACTGGTTTAGGAGAGACTGAAATGTCGTTATCTTGAGATGATTTCGGGACTCAGCGTCCCCGCGGCATGGTCATCGACCAGGCCTCCTTTTTGTTACACACCCCCAGGAAGCAGCCCGTAGTAGCTATTTACTGCTAGGTAACAGGGGTATCAGAATGAAAGAAACTCTTCCCATTTGTTTCTGCCTCCACTGGGGATCGAACCCGGAACCTCAGGACTACGAATCCGAACTGCTGTTCACTCAGCTGTCAGGCCCCCCTGACCCCCCTCAGCTGTTGTCACTTCTTTATTTTCTGATGTGTGGATTGGGTGTCTAATTTTCAGCCATGATATTATGGCTTACGGTCTGCTTATTAATGTGGTTATTCTTTTGGCATTCTGTTTGTTCATACACAATTTTGTTTTTAATAATGGTGTACTGATTTGTTAAACACAGCTGTTGTAAAATATGCATAAATACTTCATGTAGTGGCAAGAGTAAAATTCTTGAAACCTACTAAGAGGCCAGCAGTTTATAATGGTTTTATGTAAGTAATACCTTGTCTTGTAAATTTATACAAGAACATGGCACTTGTGTGTTATATTTTGACACATCTCAGTTCAAGCCAATCAGAGTAGTTGGGGCTGGTCTGGGAGAATTGGGTGATCTCAGCTCTCTCCTGGAAATGTACTCGTTGCTATTGGGTGCTCACCTGTGTATAGTGATGGGCAGGCACTGGATTTAGTGCCAGGAACTTGAGTGACAGCTGAAAAGTTTCATCTTCACCTGCAGGGTCTATTTAGTTGGCTGGGTGTGTTTGAAGGCCGTGCTTCCTGTGGTACAACATGAATAAGTCGTTAAGATGTTTCTACCCAACATTTGCATTGTTCCCTCAGCTTTTGTCCAGTGCTCCTACCAAACTTAGAGATATTGGCTGTTGTTCATTTTATTCCACAAACTTCTGTTACTTACATACTTTCATCACCACCATGTATTAAAATTACAGGTTGTGTTGCATCAGTTACATCGGTACTCTCATAAATTGCAATACCAAATGCAGTCGAAGACTTTTTTTCTCTCCAAGTGGTCTATTTGGAAAAATAATAAACTGATAAATACTGGACTGCCATTCACAAACATCCTACACTATTAGACTTACAAGCACTTTGAATGAACACAGCATACAAAAATAATAATTTGCTAATTCATATGCAGTAATTTTAACTTGTGTAGGTTAAATGGTGAAGGTGTGGGTGAAGCAGTTAGACCATTGTTGTGTGTGTGTGACCCGCACGCACCATATTTTACACCATTAATCTCATTCCCCCTTATTTATACCTTTATATATCTTATTTATTATAAGGTTGTTGTCATGTGATTGAGTTGCATTTAATGCTTTTTCTCATGGCCAGTCTGGGTACAGTGATGAGTGCTGTTGATATTTGGCTAGAAACCATTTTTTTTTGTTTTTTGTTTTTTCAGAGATTGCACTTCCTGGTGAGGGATTGGGGTTTTCCCTATGAAGTTCCCTATGGCCATCAAGGTGGACAAAAGTTATTGGATGATATTTTACAGGTAAGGTTAAATGAAAGTGTGATGTGTTGCTTAGATTAAAACTTCATAACCCAAGTCTCCTATCTTCAATTTGGCTTAGTAGATGATGTTCCCATTTGACAGTACAGTGTTTACATAAATAACTTTCAGCATCACATAAATCAATAATATATGGTATAACAAAACACCTAAATATTACACACAGTTCTCACAGTGATTGACATAGGTTTCTTTTTTACCAGCATATGTTATTTCAGGTAGCTTTGCGGATTTTAATTTTCCCTCGGTCATTATCTTATAATGCTAGAGCAATTTGCCTGTGTTTACATTTGATTTTTCAATGATTTGTTATATATAACCCTTAACTGGCTCCAATCACTGTGTGATTACCTCCTGCATTTCGATCGCTAAATGCCATATTTACGCATTAGTTTTGGGAACGATTTTTTTGTCATGTGCACCATGATGTAAGACTTAGAAAGCTAAACTGTTTTAAGGGGTAAACTATTTTAGCTTTTCTTTTATAATTTTATCTGTCCTCAGATTTGCTGTGAAAAATTACTTCATAGTGTTGCAAGGGTAATATAGTTGTTATTAGAAGCAGATTTTATGTTCCATGTTGTGCTGTACAGCCAAAATTGGAGTATGTGAGAGGGTTAGAACTATTGCCATAAGATATTGCATCTACTGGGCAAATATAGTAAATCTATATTTGCATTCTTCTGGAGTACCTCATACTCTTATTGTACACCTCATACTCTTATTATAACATGTGGCATATAACAGCCACATCAACAATCATGTCATCGCTAATGCTCATCTGTAAACACACTCAGTTCTCCTTCCGCCAGTCATGTCAATATTTTAGTGCTCATTTGTTGGGTCACACAGTGCTCATCGCAACAGTCATCCCAAAGCTAATGCTCATCTGTGGACACAATCGCTGCCCCATATACAACGCCCTCGGCCAACACCTATCACACGTAGGCTCTGAATGTGTGTCCAACCATCATATAAAAGCCTCTGTCTGCCTGAAGCAGCTTTTGAATTTCACATAAATTTATAACATTGTGCCTTTCAATGGGAAATTGTTAATTAGTGTGAAAATTGTTTAAATTTTATTCTTTATTTAAAAACTTGTTTACATTTCATTGAGCTTGGGAGCTCACAGAGAGAACATTATTTGGCTCAAAAGTACAGGACTATATATAGTAGCTTTTTATCTGGACATTCTGTTGCAAATTGTATTAATAGAACTTACTGTATCAATTCACCTGTTTTGCTTTGAATGTCGTACAGTAAACATAATATTTTAATATATTTTCCACAGACACACGTAAGGGCAAAGTCAAGGATTCATCTGCATTGTTAGTAAACATTAATGTAATAATTCTGAATTAAAATTTTGTTGGGATTCGTGCAATTTAATAATGTTTAGATATATTGTATTGTGAGGTCAGATGATTTTTGTGGAACTAATTGTTTTTTTTCTTGTGTGTGTTTTAGGTAACAGAAAAACAACATCCGGCTCATCAAGAAGTTCGTCGTGACCTCCGTAAATGTTTCCGAGATATCAACTGCTATTTGATGCCTCATCCGGGCTTCAAGGTCATACAAAAAGCAGATTTTGATGGCAGATTATCAGGTAAGTGTCATATCCTTTTATAATTTTTTATCATTCAGTGTATGCTATCTTTTCAAGAAGAAATGTATATAAATTTAGTGGGAGAGAGGGGTCTGGGAATATTAATATGCACTGTACAGTACTTCACTTCTATTTAAACTGGGTGGAACAACTGTGGCAAACCTCAGAAGAAAATTTTGTTACATTAATATTAACTCAAATGGATCAATTTAAATAAGAATATTTTTCCCTTCCCCACAAGTTGATCTGTTTGTGAAACGAAACTCTGTAAATGTTTTATAATAACCCAGTACAAATAACCAAACAGCAAGCCAATATTGATCTGGAAGGAAAGATTACTGCAGTATTGCATGAAAATGACCTTAGTGTGCATAGGTATACTGGCTTACAGTCTGATTGTTGCCAAGACAGGACACACATCCACCTGTATATTTAAGTGTTGACACTAAAAGGTTTTCTCTGTGGGATATTATGGTTTGCCTGTTGCTTTGTTCAGACCTAAGCCAATCAAAACAGTTACCTCAAGTGTAGGATTCTTTCTAACTGCTTTTGGCATGATAATACTGTCACTGCAAAGTTGGCCTCCCTCTAGCAGTCACGTTGGGGGGAGGGGGTGGAGGTCATGTGGCGGGTACTTACAGAAGATCTCTCACAATATAGAATATAAATTTCTCTCTAATTATAAAGAGGGCAAGGGAATGGTCCTTGGCCCTCAAGCCCCAATGGAGGTACTAGTCATGCAAATACATGAATTTGCACAGGAGTTAAATCCTGAAATATTGTTGAGTAAATCATTAAACTGGTACCAGTAATATATATATAATAGGAGTTGTTTATTTTTTAATGCAAATTAACTTTTTGTAGTGATGTTGTAAGGTAAGTTAACATCTCTATTATGGTGCTGGAAGATGAGTCAACGTTAGCTATTATCACAACCAGTGCTAGGTAAGTGCATTGGTTCTCATTAGTTTATTAAATTGTCATGTTTTGGGCATGAAATTGCAGTAGTTGTATTATAATGTCCATTTTACCATAATTATAGAATTTTGTGTTACCAAAGTTTTGTTTGACTGAACAAAAAGGTCTGGGAGGAGGGGATCAAAATTTTTAGCAACAAGTTTATGGTTATACAGTATGGTATGTAACAAATAAAAACTGTGGGGAAGTTATCTGGGTTTGACAAAATGGAAGATACCGTAATGTTAAAATTTTACTTGGAGAATGTTTTAAGAAAAGTGAATATCACAGAAATTGTATAATTAGTGCACTACTGGTACTACCTTAATATTTCTAACTTTGAGACAAGGCAAGATTGGTACTGTAGAAAAACCTCTCATTTCCTCGCCAAGAGTGATTCGGTAATCAAACATAAACGATCAATCCGCTAATGAAATCTGCTTACACGAGAGTGTGATGCAAAAGATTGTCACTGTGCTGAAAGATTAGCACCTTTGTATGTTGATAATGCATTAACACACCATCGTCGGCTACATTTAGCTTGGTGCTCTGACAACCCATTTGTGCATCACTCAATCCTTAAAAAAAAAAAAAACTTGTATTACACCACTTGCCATTATTTATGCATGTTGATGCTGCACATTGTGCACACGACAGCATCCTTTCTTTTGTCCTTGAGAATGTTAATTTACCGGAGGATTACCTATGGAAGGTTTGGAGATTGTTCTACTCTTGGAGTCTGGTCTGGGGCGAAGCTTCCCCGGTGATTCTGTAATCTGTGAGGCTGTCCGTCTTTGTTGCCCACTGGGCCACATCTCCATCGTGGTCAGTGTAAATAGTTTACAAGTTGAAAATTATTTTAAAATAACTGCTCATTACAGAAATATTTACAAACTTTTGTAAACTAGGCTTTGCTTACTTAGAATGAATCTAATTTATTTGTGTTTATACTCATGAAAACTCATTTCCAAACATTTTTTTTTTTAATTAATGTTTTATGCCTCTAAATAGTTTTTGAAGTAGTGAGGGACAGTCTTGAGAGGTGAAGGAGAGAGTAAGAAACATTGGTTGGTATATTAATAGGAGTGAAAACTAGTGTGTTAATTTATCTGTAATTTGTTTTCTTAACTTTTTGAGCTGTAATAAGTGTACTCGGATGCAGCTGCTTGCAACCAGACACGGGAATCATCAACCTGTCCTCTTGAATACTGCATCATATTTTGATGTTTAAATCCCATGAGGTCAAAATCTGATGCACTTACTTAAAATCATAGCAGATCGCAAAATTGACGTGATGTCCCGTTTTCTATTAGTGGGTCCACAGTTAGGTTAGGTTTCAGTAGAATTCTGGGTTGATTGGTTTTTGTCCTGTTGTGACTGAATTGGTTAAGGCAAGCATCTGGGAATCACGAACTCTGGTATGCAAGTATTCTGGTTAACTCTGTGGTTACTACCTTGTATCTTTGCCTTGCTTATTTCAGTGTTCAAATTACCCTTCCCAAGTCTTATACAATTGATACAAAATTGTTAAAAATAAATCTCCTGCTACAAGGACTAAAGGTAAGAGTGTAAATCAACATCAAAGTCGGGACACCTGTCGGTTGAGTGGAAAATCAATATCATCATTATCCACAGAGTTGTATGGCTTTCCTGTGGCCTCTTAAGCAAATAAGAGAAATGCAGGGTTCAGGCAGTGTTTAGAGTTTAAGGTGAGGTGAGGTGCTTGTAGTTGTTTTGGGTAAGCAAAGCAAACAGAGTACTGGAACTCTGCTATAATAAGAGGCATTAGTCTGAATAGTAGAGAGATTCACATTAGTGGGAGAGGTACCAAGATACACATTAGTGGGAGAGGTACCAAGATACACATTAGTGGATGAAGCTGTGATATGCATTAGTGGGAGAAACTGAGATGCTCATTAGTGGGAGAAAGGGAGATGCACATTAGTGGCCTTGAGAGACATGTCAGTGGGAGCAGCAGTGAGAGAGATGAGTGGGTGGTGGGAAGAGAGGTAGTGTGAGAGTGTGACCTGAGAGCGAGAGAGGTCGTCTCCACTCCCATAGTTATCCCTGCTGAAGCTGCCGGGCATCTTCCTCTTGAGTTGCGGGTTCAAGCTTCTCCACCTGTGCCAGCCACATCTGGAACAACTGTACCAGCAGCAGCTGCTCTTCCCTTCGCAGCCATACCTGCATTCTCCTACACCAGACCCGGGTGCACCTCCTACACTTGTAATACATTGTAACCCACCGCACCTTCAACGGCCACAAGTACACTTCTACACCTGTACACCAGTTACAAAGGCATCCATCCTCTTCCTCCTACACCTGTGTTAATTGTTGTTGTTTTAGATTTAGCTACTTAGAACGAAATGTCCATGTAGCACGGGCTATGGTGAGCCCGTAACCTGTGTTAGCAACACTCGGTCTTTAATACACCTCTCTCCTCACCCATCCCTTCATCTGACTCTCCCAACCTCGCCACCACCGTCCTTTATCATGTATAATAAACGCGAATGATTGTGCATTTGTTTTATTGTGGTGCAATGTGTTTATTCAGTACATCGCCACTGAAGCGTGTAGGGTCCCAGATCTGAGAAAATAGGGTAACCCTCCAACACCCCACCACATCATCCCTACCTTACCAATCCTATCCTGGCCTGACCCTAACTAACGACATTTAGAGATAGTGTTGTTATATATAAATATATCACTAAGAACTCATAAGTGACCCATGCCGCTCAGGATCACCCCTAAACGTACACAGTACTATGACCATCTCACCAATGATTGTCAATAATACTATCACTATTTGACTATCATTGGTGAGGTGGTCACAGTACTGTGAATGTTTAGGGGTGATCCTGAGTGGCATGGGTTCGAATCCTGGTCGGGTCATTTAGAGTTCTTGGTGATCTATGGCTTGCATGTTCGTGCAGCCTTTCTATAATTAATATATATTTATATATAACATGTTGGAGACATGTGTATGATAATAATAATAATGGGTTTATGGGTTTTAGATGGTAGTGGGCGGGGGTTGGTATGATTAGGGGTTGAGTTGGGTGGTGAGTGGGAGGCGCCCTCATACCTGTGCCAACTCCACGGTCCACGCCTCACAAGCTGCCGTGTACGGTGAAAATCACTGCGGTTATCCAAGTGGAGATTGGCGAGAAGAATTCTCTAGAGCAGTGGTGCAAGGGAGGGGTGTTGTGTGTGTGTGTGTGTGTGTGTGTGTGTGTGTGTGTGTGTGTGTGTGTGTGTATTGACTATTTGTGTCTGCAGGAAAGAGCTATTAGATCTTTTTCCCCTCTTATCTAACCAATCTATTTTTCCTCGATTATATATGCTATATATATTTATCTCTAACACTCACACATTCCCAGGAAGCAGCCCGTAGCAGCTGTGTCTAACTCCCAGGTACCTATAAACTGCTCATATGTTTCCGCCTCCGCCAGGGATCGAACCCCGGCCCTTAGGACTACGAATCCTGAGCGCTGTCCACTCAGCCATTGAGGCCTCATAAATGTTGTGTGTGCCCGTGTGTGTGCGTACTCGCCTATTTGTGATTGCGGGGGTTGAGCTTTGGCTCTTTGGTCCCATTTGGTTACTGCGTGTGTTTTTGGTTACTGTGTTTGGTCCCTTTGGTTACTATGTGTGTGTGTGCGTGCGTGCGTGTGTGATGAGAGACGTATGATGAGTCATGGTGTGGGAATATCTGCCTTAGCTCTCCCACACAGGTCCGTGTTGACGACCATTCACGAACACAACTACCATTTACCACGAATGCCTCTAAAACAAAAATAGGTGGGACACGAAACTTGTCAAATTGCACCTCAAAAGTGTAATGAATGTTAGTGTATTCCCGAGTGTTGCCCAGTGTTGCCAGGTTGGCCTCGGGCTGCGGAAGCTCTCAGCTTCCCACCGTCCAGCTCCCTCACCGGGTTAAACTTGCCCTGTCATCTAATCTTTCCTGTTTAGCGAATTTATCTGTATCCTCACCTCTCGAACCAAACTGCTGGTCCCAGAGAGGTGCTGGGAGAGAGGGA